GACTAAGATATAAATTTCTATAAGAAAGAATTAACCAATATGTTGGATAATTGCTATGCTTATATTGTTTGTAGCTGTCCTCCATGTGTGCAATATATCTGTGGTCCAATTATCATGATCGGGAATAATAATAATAAAAACTTTATTGTAGGTTTTGTTTGAGGGTCCTGTTGCCTTGCTTGGTGCATTTATAAAGAAACTTCTTTGGTAATTTTAACCATGAGAATAGAACAACCCCGCTCCTGGTTAAGAGGAGAGGGAGGTTTTGTTATTCCCCTAATTCAATAAGAGCAAAAAGCTACAATCTTAACAATTAGAGGATCCTTGAAATAGTTATTATAAGATGGTAAATTAATAAGTTTTTGATAAAACTACCAAAAATGATATATATTATATTTCTAAATCCTAAGTAAGCTATTCTATTCTAAAGAAACTGAATTAAATCTATATATATACTTAAGCCTAAAATAAAAATACATTTTAATAATGCTTTTAGGTTAACTTAATTAGATGGGAAAAAATATAGATAACTTGAAAATATATTATTGCTGCAATAAAATAATTCTTCTCAATTTAAGACCAAGGCCTTATGTTTTTTTCCCTTTGTTTATTCAGATTTGTCAAAGAATGGAAAAATTATAGATGTCTCATTATGTAATGACATGTCAAGTAAGGCTAATTATGTGATGAATTTCAAAAAGAGTTCTAATATCTTTTTAGAATAACGATATTTAAATGGTCTTATTTTAATATTTTTTAACATCTGATAAATGTTTAAAAATAAGTATGTGATTAGAATATCATTTTCTAACTTTGTTTTCTTAAATTGAATTCTGAGGGATGACAAATAATAAGGTTCAACAAGATAAAAGAAACAAAAATTAGAGAATTAGAGCTTTTAAATATTGAAAATAATGAAAAATAAAGAATTCAAAATCAGCATTTTTATCTTAATTAAGGAAGATTGATTACCTATGCAAGCTTTAGTTTAAACACTTTTTAAGCTTTCTGTAAAGGAACTGAATTTTGTTGTTGGATAAGGAACTTTTAGTAGTACAAGTATATGAAAACTTCTTTATTCACCCTAAAAGAACTATATCTCTTACATTCTAAGAATTTATGGTTGAAGTAGGAATGATATGGCCAGAAATTGGAACTTAATTTTTATACTCTTTAATTTAAATTAAAAATAGTTATAAGCAGATATTTAAATAATTTTTCTCGTTTCAGCAATTCACAAATTATTCAAAAATCGGAATTCTAATCATACTAAAAATCATATGGCTTCAAATTTATTCATCCAATCTTCGAGTTAAATATAAATATACATTATTCTTAGTACATTTTATTAGTAATCTTCTTATATTATTCATTTTATCTCATTTAAGTTAAAGTTATTGATAGAAACTCCTAAAATATTTTTGAATTATTGTATAAATCTTAAAAAATCATTTTATTAAAAAAAAATTAAATGATGGTACTTTTTAATTATAAGTTCTCTAAAATTTCAATCTTATCAATGACAGAAAAGTTATAAGTTATTTAGATAAAGAATGCCTACTAACTTAAGCTTATAATGTTGGAGGTAGCATCGATCAATAGGTAAAATAAATATTCTATTAAACATCAATATAGGAAATGAATGGATTTATTAAATCTAAAATAAATGTTTATTGAGGGACTTATCAAATTCTTCTTTATTTTGTTCATTAAAAAATCAATTCCTAAATATTTCAATTTCTTAATTGTCATAAACTCTTATTTTAATTATTTTTTTTCATCAGAATTTTCAATTATGAATGTTTGTTTTAAGTTATTTTTAAATTGATTGTGCAAAGTTTATGTAACATTTTCTCAATCTTCATCTTTAATTTATGAATTTTTTTCTAAAAAAATATTTCATTTTTGGAGATTTAAAAGTGAGAATGCGAAATATCAATATCAAATTTAATATTTTTGGATACATAAGGGATTAAAATTTTTGTTACTTTTTTTGATAGTTTTTGAAACTATAAAGAGTTATATATTTGCATAATTGATAAATAAAGTAATTATAGATGCATAATAATGATTCAAAAATGATAAGATTATCTCTATAATTAAATTTAAAATGAAAATTAAATTAATTTTAAAAAGGTTTAAATTTTTAGTTTTTACCTTAGTATTACTAATTTCTTATTACAATAGAATAATACTGGCAATATCCAAGAAAAAAATTATCTAAAACTCATAATGATTGAATTCATTTGAAACAATAATAGTTTAGTAAAAAATTATAAATAAGCAATAATGAATTACATAGCTTTTGTTAAAGGAACCCTCTTTTATAAATTAATGATTATATATTATTATATATCAATTTTAAATCAACAATTTTTTGAGAGGGCAATACACTTTAGTTTTCGTGAGTATGTTACTTATTTATGAATACTTATTTGAGAATTTAATTTATATAAAGCCTCTTAATCTTGCTTTATTTTCATACTAAATGGAACAAGATTTATCATTTAATTTTAAGCAAAATAATAGACTGAATTATAATCTGAAATTGATTACCTATAATACTGTTTACTCTCTCATAAATAATAAACATAATAGTTGTTATATCCTTAATTATCATTCTTCTAACTTTACACTATGATACTCATATTTCTATAATTCTAAGTATGTTTAACAATAAATTCATATTTTTAGAAAGTTTATCAACTCTAATGACATGAATTCAAGAATCTATTGACATTATTAATTAAAATTAATTTTTTTATTAAATAATAACTCTAAAATATGATTTAATCTAAGATGATCGAAGAAGAAGAGGAACTTTATTGTTCATAAAAACATAAACATCCTATCTTGATGATTTTTGATGATACAAAATTAAAAAGGAATCAAAGACTTTTATGCTTTGAATGTATGAAAAATTTAGAATCACAAACTCAATTGAGAAGTTTTACGAAAGTCTTACAACTTATCTAAGAAAATTAGAAATAAAAGTAAGAGTCTGTTGAGAATGTTATAATGATTAGTATCAAACTGATCGAATAGCTCTAAAAAGATCTTTATTAATTAAAATCTAATGTTGTTCAATAATTAGATTATTTAAATGAAAATGTTAATGAATGGATCAAACAGGTACTAATAATTGGATAATAAAATGTTACTTATAGTTTTTATGATGAATTGGACAAATTAATTAATTAAAAAAAATTAGATGAATTCAATGAAAAATTATTGATTGATCAAATAAATAAAATTAATTAATCATGGAATCAAAAATTTAATAAGAAATTAATTTTATTTAAATAATTTAAAGAAAGTCAGAAATGTGAAGAAATCTTATAAAAGTTAGGAAATATTAATGAGATAAATATAAGAGAGTAAATAATGAATGAAGTAAACTATTTAATTTATAATCTAGATATAATTACAATTGATTTAAGATGACAATGAATAGAACTAATTTTCATAATAATTGATGATGTATAAATAAGTTTAATTTAAATTAATTGATGATTCAAATCAATAGATTGGATATTGTTAAGCAATAGTATTCAATAAAGATGGATCAATTATGGTTTCAAGTAATAATTGTGAGATCAGAATTTGGAATTTTGAATAAGGAAGATTTAAATTATCTAATTCTTATAATAAACATACAAATCCTGTTTATTGTATGGTGTATAGTAAATAGAAAAATAGCTTTATTTCTGGAGGTGGTTTACAAGAAATTTTCTGTTGGCAATAAATTAACAAAAATGAGTGGAAGTGTTCATAACCATTCAAATAACATAAAGATTAAGTTTATTGTTTAATATTAAATAAATAGGAGGATCAACTTATTTCAGGAGGTTTAGATTGTAGAATAATTGTATGGTAAGTAGATTTTATAAAAAATGATCTGACTTTTTTGTATTCTCTAGATAAACACAGTAATATTGTATTTTCAATCAGTTTAAATTAATCTGAAACTGTATTGGCATCATGTGGGTATCATGAATTGATAATATGGGGGAAAGAATCATAAGGAAAATGGGAATTCAAATATAAATAAAGTGTTTCAGCAGGATAGAAAATCCATTTTATTAATAATCAACAATTTCTTTGGGTACCTTTAGATAAGTAAATTGATGATCTTTTGGAATTTGAATTATAGAATGGAGTTTTTAAACAGAATTAAGATAAAACAATCACTTTAATTAAGAATCATGAATGCGAAGATTGTGTATTTTTTCCAATTATACATAATAAAGATAGAAATGTGATATTGATAAGACACAAACATCATATCTATTTGATTAGACAATTAAACGATGGCAAATTTAAAATTCTAGCATCAATAAATTGTTAAGATAAAGAATCTTATGGAACTATGACCAATAATGGATAATATTTAGTATTTTGGGATAATAAATCTAAAAAATACTCATCATATGAGATATTATATCAATGAATCGAAAATTCAACTTTCTTCCTATTTAAAAATTAAAATCATCACGAGTAATTGATACTGTTTGAATTCTTGGTTTTTTCTTTTTATTAAGTCTGATAAAACCAAATTCAGGATTTATAATAATCATTTATTATTCCATAATCTTCAGTAATTATTAAAAATATATCTCAATGTTTTATATGATTAAGATTTATGCATTATTTGGACATTTTATTATATCACTTGTTTATCCTGTCAAAATTAGATTTTAAATTATATATTATTTTTTTCAAGATCCTTTCTATTTAATCTAATAAGTTATTTATCAGTTCCTTCTTAAATTATCCTTATTTTGAAACGCAATGACTAAAAATAATCTGTCAAAACTATAATCAAAATATATTTATGTTTCTATTATTTAATTAATTATATTTCCGAAAATTTAATTATATTTATTTCTGATGATGTCATAATTAGGGTCACCCAAGGAGTTGTCTCCTTCGATTCCCTAACAGGATGGTAGCGTTCTACATCGGTTGGGGACGAGTGCTGGCCATGATCATCAAAGAAGTCAGAACTAAAGTAAGAGGGTAAGTCTCGTAACTAGGACACATCTCCAAGTACCCTGTTAAAAGAAGATGTGCATTTAATGTTAATTGAATATTATTTTCTTTTTTATCTGTTTTTCATATTTAAATCTATTATATTTATCAAATAAGTTTAATATAATACATCTTAAAATACACAAAGTTAAATACAAATATTAGTATATGCAACCAAAAATAAAATTTTTATACTAATTAATTCGCAAGCTTAAAATTCAATTAAAACACATTATTTTGATTAATTATTCTTATTTGATACTTTTTATTTTCTGCTTATTGATTCAGAGCAATAATTACAGCATAATCAGATTGTTCAATGAAATTAATATTTGGATTATATTTTATGAAATGTGAAAATAATATATAATATGTTCTTGATTGAATTAATTTTCCTACATTATATCTCTAGAATATTGTTTAATAAGTTTCAAGATATATTTTGAATCTGACATTTATAATAAGCAACATAAAATCACAATATATGATCATTATTTTATTTTACTGCGATTGGTTTTCCAATAAGTTTATGAAACATAGTTTAAGATTATTTTAGCTGTAGACGATAGTTAAATTTTTTAATAATATTGTAATATTTTATTTATCTTCAGGTTCATGAAATTCAAAAATTATATTTATTGTAGTTGTTATAATGACTTTTATTAAAATTATTAAATATCATACTATTTTTGAATTCTTTTAGTAAAATATATTTCTTATGTTTTTATACTTTTTTAAATGATACTTAGTGAGGATATCAATGACCCATTATAAAATTGAATTTAAAAATAAATTGACATCATATTCCCCAACCTAAAGATATCATATTAAATTAATATTTTTTCTAAATTGTAAAAAGAATCAAACTTAATTGTTGAAAATAAGAAATTTTGAGAACAATTGAAATCATAATAAAAAAATTTAATTTTTTTAATTTTGAAAATAAAACAATCAATTAGTATTTTCTAACTTAGATTTTTTATTTTTATGCTAAAAATTAAAACTTAAAATTATATCTTGTTTTCCTCATCATACTCTCGAAATGGGGAAATTAGAAAAAATTTAAGATTAAGCAAAAAGCTAAATCTAACTATATTATTTATAAAATATAAAAGAGCTTTAGAAAGGTGAGTTAGCGAGAACAGAAGCACTTATTTAAGCTATTTAACTATGGAGCAGAAGTATGAATTAGTCTCATTTATTTGTAATACTCAACTTTCCCCTCTTGTAACGGTCTAGGATTTCAACCCTAATAGACAGAGAGAGAGTATAAAAAAGTTTTGGAGGCTAAAATGATGATAGAGGGTGGTTTGAAATATAATTACAAATACCTTATCTATTTATTTAAATTATTATGAAATAAATGAATATATAATTCTTGTATTTTTGTTTAAAGTATTTCAATAAAGAAAATTGAATGCAAAAATGATCATCTATTATAAGTTACATTAACCATTGTCAATAAATATAATTAAACTTGAATTTAATTTACATTAATTTTTTCTTTAAGTTTTGTATTTAGCAAAAATAATTCATTTCAGAAATATTTTTTTTATTCTAATCTCAGTAAAATTTGCTGTCCATAATTTAATTGTCATAAGAGATGCAAGTCGGAATAAAAAAATGGCTTTCTTCTTAATGGTTGATTTTATTCCTTTACATAATTATAACTTGGACATCTATTAAAAAGATTTAATTATCTTTACTGCTTAAAATTATTTACTTAGTGATAGATATCACCAAAATTTTTTATAATTTAAATTTTCATCTTTAAAAAAACTATTTATCTTTTCTGTTTAGATAAATTCCTGAAAATATATAAAACAAAATTTATAAAAATTAAAATATTATTCATCTAAATGAATTGAATTATTAATTAATTAAATATTATTCATCTAAATGAATTGAATTATTAATTTTGTTAATATATTTTTGCTATCCTACATTCAAATATTTTCTCTCATTATTTGATACAATTCAATATTTATCTGGAATTAATAAATGAATATTGATTTATCATATAATTTGTTTATAATTTTGTCGTATTGAAAGATTTAGTCTAAATAGAACAGCTGACAACATTTTATTAATAGTATCACTCATTTAGTTTACTTAATTCTTAAAAATAGTGTTAATGTAATAGCAACAATAATCCAAAAAACATAAAAATGAGAAATTTTTTGCTATTATTCTTAATTATTAAATCAAAACACAAATTATTTAGATTAATAATTTATTTAATGATAATCGATAAATGATATTATACAAAGTAAAATTGAAAAAATCTCTTAGTATCGATAAACTAAATAGATCATTATGTTTAAAGGTTTAAAAAGTAGCGAAGGACAATAAATAACTATAAATCTTTTAAGGATAAGTAATTTAATAAATATAATGTGAAGGTGTATAACATTATAAAATTTATAATTCGATATAATAATTTACAGGTTATTCTCAATTTCTACAAAGTACAATCAATATTGTTCTAAGTGGCTAAATGATCAATATTGCAACATAAACAATATCGGCTATTTATTTTCTTGATACATAAAGTATAAATGATAATGGAGATGAAATTCTCAGAATTATCAAATACAATAAATTACTATAATCTATTTTGAAATTAACTAATTTATTCACATTTATGTATTATAGAATAAATATCAGCTTTTCCATTTAAATGAATGAAAAATAAATGTTTCTATCTAACTTAATTAAGCAAATCACCTTAATAATTAATTTAAATGAAAGCCAAATTTGAGTATAGATGTTGGTGATAAAATAGAAATTAAAAATAGTACTTTAAGAAAATTATAAATATAATTAATGATAATGATATTGAAAATTAATTTTTATAGTTTGAATATTATAAAAAATTATTAATAGAAATGCAATAAATATAGAATAATGAGACTGAGGATCAAGATTTTTTGAAGTATATATCATAATAAATTCTATCCATTGAATTGAATATAATACCTTGTACGATATAGAAATAATAATCAATTGATAAAATTGTGTTATTTTTGGGATTTTAGCACAACGAATTTGATTAATTCTATAGTCATTTTATTGATAACAAATGTCTTCAATAAAATGAATTCTTTAAGATAGTTAAGATTAAAAAAGATAAACACTCTTCCTATCTGATTAATAGCCCATACTCCTTAAACAGATGCTCTCAAGAAGATGAAAAAATAAAACTATTTTCTTCGAAAATAAATTTAGAATTAATTTTTCTAAATTTCAAGATATGTGAAATTCATGTAGTTATAAATTATTAGAATTTGTTAGGAAATTCTGAAGAAGAAAAACTTAAAAATATAATCGATTATAAATTTTTGAATTTTGGAAGAATTCTATTGAAAAATGAAAAAATTTCACTAATCAATTGTTATGGAAATAATTAATTTTCTTATACTTATTTGATAGCTTTAAAATCTTAGAATCATTTAAACTTTATTGAAATCGAACAACAAAAAATCTTAAGAAATATATTCAAAAAAAATGAATTCCTTTATTTTTAAATTCTTAAACATCCCATTTAATTTAACTATGGAGAAATGAGTAGTGAAATGATGAAAGACCAAGAATAACTATTTGAATTTGTCTTGAATAAAATAGAACAATTCCAGATCTAATTATTGAATTTACAGCAAATACCTAAACTTAAAGATTATCATGAGTTGTCATAATCTTTAGGAAATTATTTAAAATAACTTAATGAAATCCTTAGTTTATACAAAAAACCCAAATTCTCGTTTGTTTGGAAAATTGTGTATAAAATTAATCATTTAAATATGAATATTGGTAGTTCTATTAACATATAGTTGAAAAATTTAAACTAATAACTTCTTTAATAATTTTTGAAAATGAAAAGATGCACATTTGAGGATCTTTTTATTAAAATGTAATTATTAGAAACAAATCACTTGAAATAAATAGATGAATTTCTAAGAAAATATAATCAATATCAATATGATGATGTCCTTCTTGTATCACTTTAGAATTTTGCCATTAATGTGGATTTTTGGAATTCATATTTCAAAGATTTTTTTGAGTCTAAGCTTTCTCAATTGAACATGATATCAAAAAATCTTTAACCTTAACCATAACAGGATTTTGAAAAAGGAGTCTTCTTTTTTGGAAAAAGTAAAGCAGGAAAGAGTACTATATTAAATTTGATTTAAAACCCTGAAATTCTTACTATTAAAAAGGTATTGTCAGATTATTGTTATGTTGTAAAAGATGGATAATAATCATAATTTAATATTGGAGATGGTTTCATGAGTGAGACATAAATGATCTAAGGTACAAAAATAGATGATGTTTGGTATTTTGATTGTCCTGGTTTTGATGATAATATATCAGAATATACTCGTATAGCTCATAGGATTAATTTATAGAATTATTTAAGAA